TGATAAACAATACCAAATAGCTTAAACAGAACAATCAAAAACAATAAAATATCTAAACATCTAATATTGAATAGTCATGCCTTCTCAGGCATATTAACCGGCAAATCATTATCGCTGGCTATTTTCAGCGCCCTGGAACCTTCTTTTTGTCTCAGGTATACGATGCCGTTTGATGTCCAACAAAATTTGAAGTCATTTTCATTTGCGAAATCGCGTGCCATACGGAATAATCTTTTTGCCTTATAAGTGAGGGACTCCGATATGAATATTCGATTCTCCGGTTTATCCACTAGTAGATGCTTAGTACTCAGCTTTTCAGCGTTATTTTGTTTATTAAATGCTTTCAAACCGTTTAATAAACACTGCTTATACTTAGAAATTGTAAAATCGACAATTATTGGTTTGTTGGCTTCATTTTTTGTATTTATTCTGTATATATTTTTAACCGCCTCCGAACTAATATCAACCTTTAGAATCTTACAAATATTTTGTAAATAATCATGCAAATCCTGGCTTGTTTCAGTTTTAGACACTTTAGGTATATTTCTTATTTCAATTTCATTTGATTTTAATTTTCTTTCCAATAAATCGAGTTTATTTTCAAGCGTCTCAACATATCTTCGCGTTTCTTTTTGTTCATTTTTAAAGTAATTTATTTCTTCTTGCATATCATCATACTTTTTACTTAAAAAGTCCAAAGTCTTCATTATTTCACCGTTCTGTTGCTTTATTTCAGTTACAGAGTTTTCAATCAAAGATAATTTTTTGTCTTGAAGTTCCGTAAATGCACTAAACATATTCCTGATATCATTCATAAATTGGCGCATTGTATTCTCCTCATCACTATTAAATTTTCGCTTCATACGCAGAGTAATATTATCAAGCGCTGAGTCCGAGCCTGCGTGTTGTATCGCCGGTGCAGGCGCTAGCGCAAACGAGGGTAGCGGTGTGGTGGGGCGAGGGATCGCCGCTGCCGCCGCCGGCGAGGTTTGTGGCGGTGGCGTACGCTTGAGTGGCATCATAGATTTGTACTAGGATATCAGTAAACAGTAGAAGTCAAATCACTAAGCTCAATCAACTGAGGTCTAGTTATGTTGGCTGGTATCGACGTTTTCATACAAAATTTCTTTCCGTCCAGTATAACCAGACACTTGCAATCGCCGCTCCAAGTATGAGCAAGACAATACGTAATGTTGAATGAATAAAGGATAGATTTGAATAGACTCACATAAACGTAAGCGCGTTTACTCCAGTTATCACTCACTCGCGGTGCAATTTAGTTCCTTTGATTTATGAGCTCCTATTTTTCATGTCAATTTAATATTGTTTAATTGTAAATAATTTACTATTGTAATGAATACCACATTAAACACGTCTTTAACAGTTAACGTCCGGGAGGGGAGAGGAAATGTCCGCTAATCATTTATTATAGAATTCGCGATTTTATTTTATCGATCGATTCTTTTCAATAGATATCAAATCAGTCGATTCTATCGTTGAAATATAACTATACTTCTTTATTGTCGTGGTTGATTGACGCTGGCTACACACAAGTATACACACACACAACTGAAAAGTGAAAGGTGCGCAGATGAGGTTGCGCACAAAAACGTAACGAGGTCATTTGTTCGCCTTTTTTGTGTAGGCAGCAGATGCCTGCGCGCCAGCTCCAGGCGCGCGTCCCTCAGTATACGAGCCCCCGCCCCCCCCCTCGTACCTGTGTGGATGAGGTCCCGCACCAGCTGCAGGCGGGCGCCGGGCAGCAGATGCCTGCGCGCCAGCTCCAGGCGCGCGTCCCTCAGTATACGAGCCCCCGCCCCCCCCCTCGTACCTGTGTGGATGAGGTCCCGCACCAGCTGCAGGCGGGCGCCGGGCAGCAGATGCCTGCGCGCCAGCTCCAGGCGCGCGTCCCTCAGTATACGAGCCCCCGCCCCCCCCCTCGTACCTGTGTGGATGAGGTCCCGCACCAGCTGCAGGCGGGCGCCGGGCAGCAGATGCCTGCGCGCCAGCTCCAGGCGCGCGTCCCTCAGTATACGAGCCCCCGCCCCCCCCCTCGTACCTGTGTGGATGAGGTCCCGCACCAGCTGCAGGCGGGCGCCGGGCAGCAGATGCCTGCGCGCCAGCTCCAGGCGCGCGTCCCTCAGTATACGAGCCCCCGCCCCCCCCCTCGTACCTGTGTGGATGAGGTCCCGCACCAGCTGCAGGCGGGCGCCGGGCAGCAGATGCCTGCGCGCCAGCTCCAGGCGCGCGTCCCTCAGTATACGAGCCCCCGCCCCCCCCCTCGTACCTGTGTGGATGAGGTCCCGCACCAGCTGCAGGCGGGCGCCGGGCAGCAGATGCCTGCGCGCCAGCTCCAGGCGCGCGTCCCTCAGTATACGAGCCCCCGCCCCCCCCCTCGTACCTGTGTGGATGAGGTCCCGCACCAGCTGCAGGCGGGCGCCGGGCAGCAGATGCCTGCGCGCCAGCTCCAGGCGCGCGTCCCTCAGTATACGAGCCCCCGCCCCCGCCCCCACGCGCGCGCAGCCCTCCGCTGCCGCCTCTAGTGCCGCTTCTCCGCCCACACAGCTCTCCTATAATTCAACGCCACATTTATACTGTGTCAAAGATCTTTATGAATGTGGCAGTCCCTATAGTGCACGTCAGAGTGCGGGAGATGTTGCGACACCTAGTTTACGAGACCGCGCAAGCCCATTAAGGGGCCCCAGGCCCCAGCATGCTTTCTCACAAGCTAGGTCACGCCTACCTAGGCCTATAGGTCGTTAGTCAGTTAAACTTAAAAGGTCTATAGCCACACCCCACTTATGTGTCAGAATGCTCTGCACGAACCACGACAAACCTCGGCAGGCGTGACAGGCGTTTGTTAACGGAGCGCGGGACCCCAGCGACCTCAATGTCATGAGTGGTACCTACACAAGTTTTCAAGGTGTCGCCTACTCAGAGATTGTTGGCTGTTAAAATACTATTTACATAGACACAACAGTAAACATCATAATAACCTTACATGATTGACTTAAAACACAATAATAACCATATTTGTACCACTATTTATGCAATACGTTGATTATCGGTACATTATATCAACATCAAAATCTGTTTAAGAACTGTTTTTTTTAAAACTGTACTAAGATAACATTGAGAAGACGCGTGTTCTACCTGGAAGTTAATGTATCGCAGCCAGAGGGCGACGTCTGTAGGCGAGTCGGCGAGCAGTCGGCGGTAGGTAGCGGAGCGCGCGGCCACTTCCTCGTCTACGGGGGTAGTTGCCAGCGACGCAACGCTCGCCTCGTAGTAACGCTTCAACCGACGCTTGCGACGCTCACGGTTGATGGCTACAGAGCCCAGTGTTAGCTCGGACCGCCATGAGTAGCTACATCCGATTCATACTGTTCATTCTCAGCTTATTTCACTAATAATAATACATTTTACGAAATTAAATATGTACTTTGGTAAAATTAGGAGGGTTGTTTTTGGAAATGATTGTATAAAATGCTTCACAAGTCTACATCTATATTGTAAGTAAGGACTAATAAATATGGCAGTAATTTCAACATATTTAAGAAATCAATGAATAGAAAATGCTGCACAGAAATTTTACACTTCATCCATGATTGTGAATAGTGGAGTCTACATTTTGTCTATGCTGCTTTGGAATTCAAATCAAATTGCTTATTTACAAAAAACATTGTAAATGTAAGGGTTGATTCTGGCATGATTCTCAAACCTAAAATTAAATTTGACAACAGTATATCCTTGTCATTCTCTATACAGAATGAAAAAATGTACATTCATTATTTTCTATATATTCAACTTGTTTTATTTAATAAGTGATGTGCGTGAAAATCTAAGAAACAAATATGTACATTCACATTTCATTAATTTAAATTGTAAATATCCAATTTAAAAAATAATTTGTGTCACACAACTTTATACATAGTGCAAATTCAAGTGTAAAATCCACAATCACATTCCTAGTTAGATGCTTTTCTTTGTAATCCTGAAAGAGCTCCTGAATCTAGCCTAGTATAATTGAGACTTACTTTGGTCTACCAGGATAGTACAAAGTGGACATTCTTAGGTTGCCAGGATCGCGGGCACGGTCCTGATAGAAATCGCGAGTTGGTGGTGGCGACTCTGGCACTGTCGATGGAGCTTGATTTTCATTAACATTTTCTTGTGTTGGTGACTCTTCCTCGTCGCTAGCCAAAAGGCTCGCTTCCAAAGTAGGAGACACAATATCTTCTACAGTAGCTACAAAAAATAATTTACCATTAAACTTACTTGGAATAATATATTACTCATTAATATTTTTTTTCATACCAATGCTAAATTCTTATTCTTTACTTCCTACTTGAATAACTTTATAGATACAACTAAATTTTTACGGTACAAACTATTGAAATAAGCAAAATGACACTTATTGGTCGTTTAATATAGTTTATTAAAACAAAAAAGTGAATCCACGATGTGAACTATGTACCATAATATATTTACCTGGAATTTGAATACAATTGTCTGTGTTAGTACCCTGTGCATATGCAGGAAAAAGTGCCATAATGAAATAACTTCATGGAAAGTCGACAAAAGTATAAAAAATACTTTAATTCTGCAAAAGCAGCTTTGTTTACTTGGTTTATTTATCTTTCTTTCAGTCGGAAATTCGGAATCACAGATTACTTTAAGTACAAGGAATTCGGATTTCGTTTCTTTCTAGGATTACCTTTATGCCGGTACTTCACTTGGCTATTCGTGTTTGGTATTTGTAAAGTTGACAGCATCTGTCCTTTTCATTCTTTAAAAAGCTTAATAAAGACAGACTGTTGCCAAGTTCTCAAAGAGAAAATACGAATGATCAAGTGAAGTGGATTGTCTTGACATTGAATATGCCAGGGCTACGTTCGAAACCTACGCTCTAGGCGCAACAAATGTCAAAGCTGACTGTGTCGATTTGTTGACTTTTGCCTTCCCACAGGTAGAAACACAGAATAAAATTCAATGTCAATGTCACTTTTTTTCGTATTCTTGAACAGGAACGGAACCTTGAACGGATCGACTGATTTTCATCGTTTTGTCAATCGAACTGCCTGTAAATCAGTGTAGAAGTGCTAACAAGTCCAGTTACTATTACACCTTAATCTTTCATTAATTTCGTATTATATCGAAAGGTTATTCTGAAGCAAAATGCCGGTGAAAGCGGTGTGCGTTCTCAACGGGGATGTGTCTGGCACTGTTTTCTTTGATCAGCAAGTAAGAATTCATTATTTACATTTATAAATACTTTTCCACAAGTTTCCAGAAAAAGTTCAGACTTTCAAATACGTTTCATGTCGAGTAAATTGCAAGTGATTATGTAATATCTCTAATTTGTCACTGTAATTGTAGGTAGGTAGGTAATCTAGGTACTTGTTATTTATGTGATCGATCCGGTTTTGTACGTCATTCATAGAACATTTTTCTAGAAGATACAACAGAACGATATTTTGTTAAACCAAACAGTCATTTGGCCCTTATGTGATTGCTAACTTTTCATTTATGGCATCTTCCATAAAAAATACTACTGTTTCTTTCTTAGGTTTTCATACACACCACTCATTAAATTAAAAAGGTTTTAAAATACTACTAATTCTTTACGTAGTGTATAAATTATATGATATGCATCACTTTTCTTGTTTTTCTTTGGATTTGATTAAATTACACTTCTCAACTCTTTTTTGTGAAAAAGACGAGTTGAGTTGCATGATTTTTAGTTTTTTATTTTATTTAGGGATTTCATAGCATGTTCTGCTGAGCAAATCCCAGTTTCAGTTTGAAATGAAGAATTCAAGTTTAGTTTTGCTATATATACAAATCTACTGGCTCAGCTTTACATTGGCTGTGGTTGAGTAGCGAGCTGAAATTTTTGTCATTCTATTAATTATTAGAAACACATACACAAAATCTTTTTTGGCGGAAACAAATAGAACTCAGAAAATAAATTGCAGCCACAAAGCCCAAGGTGTTAAGGAGAGTGATGCTTGTGACTTTGTCACGCAAAGGCGATGGGGCTGCTATACCCGCAGCGCCAGGGATAAGACAGAAGTACTGGTTCCTACTTCAGGGAGACCCCCCCTCTCCCCCTCCCCACCCCAAAACTGTCCCGAAATTCAACCACAGCTAATGGACCAATCTACCGTAATTTTCTTAATTTTTGAATAAGTTTTTTACTTCCAATACTGAGACTAAATAGCTTACTCCTTCTCACATGATTATAAACGTAGAACTAACAACTTTATAGTTTAAGACAAATAAAAAGATGAATAGATAATAGTCAAATTATTTATTATTTCAGGACGAAAAGGCACCAGTAGTGGTATCTGGTGAGATCAAAGGCTTGTCAAAGGTGAGCAATCAAAAGTTATTTATATCAGAGGTTTGACCCCAAGTTGGTTTGATTATATTATTATTTATCATTTTAATAATTTAAACTGTGTATCATTTTCTTTGGGGGTGGTTCCATGTAAATAGGGGAGAAACCTTTGTTTAAATTTCTATTTGTACATTTAATTCATTAGAAAGTACATGTCAAGAGAGTAAAGAGTAATTTTTTCTACTAAACAAACTCTGCATAATCATTAATTTTACTTCAAAAGTGATTTAGACTTGTGTGAAGGATAGTTATGATTCAAGTTTGTGTAAGACAGTAAAAAAGATTTCGATAGTAGGAAAATACTCTAGTTTTATGATGCAGACAGTAATGGCGAAAATTATAATATTTATTATTGAAATTTAATTTTAGGTTACTAGATAGGTAACTCCACTCATATAGGTAATATTAAAATATGATGACATTTGGATATTGACATTTAATTTTTATATAATACATATATTCAGCACAAAAATAACTAAAGAACAAATAGTAAGATATTTATAACTAAAATACTTTATTAAAAGGAGTCCCTTTAGGCAAGGTTCCAAAGATACTGGCAGCGTTCCCCCTTTGAATAGCTGGACCAATTCTTTGTCCGAGGTAGCTGTCAGTTATGATTACATTTAGTGTTATTACTATCCTAATGATGTCACTATTGACAGAATAGTTTTCAAAAGTTGGTAAATAGTTAAATAGTACTTACTTATGGTCATAAGAACTATTTACCTAATTTTGAAAACTATTTAAATGTATATTTTAGTCACAGTTTCACACTCCAATATAAATGTAAAATGTTGAATGTTCTAACTTAACCCAATGTATTGACATGTAATTAACACACATTAATTTAGGAGTGGTATTATTAATTGTTTTTATTTTAGGCATTGATGCATTTTCAAATTAAGTTTTAAAATATTCATCAATGTTGACTTGCATCAATTAACCCCGCTGTAATATTTATAATTAATTATATACTGATGCTATAACCTTGGACATTAAAAAGTTTAAGTAGATATTTTGCATTACTGTTGTTTGTTTTTGAACGTATCTGTAACATTACCAATGAATCTTTAACAATTAAATATCCTAATGAATTGCCTTCCATGAAGGCCTACAATAAAAAGAAAGAAATAGAATGCTAGCTAATCAATGTTGTTGTCATGAGTTTTTAATGGACAGGGTAATTTCAGAGAATGTTGCAGATGAAAGGATTACAGCTGACCTGTGACTAACAGTACCTGTGAGTAAGAGTTAAACAGTAGTTAGCTTATGTTTAACTCTTTCCCATTTAGAATCCTATATTATCCCTGATGAACATTGGCTATAGAGTATTTTCAAAAAAGTTAGGGCTCCGTATGGAATCTTCGATAATGCAACCCAGTGTGACAAAAAATACCATAAATAACCATAGATCGCTTATGCTGCGGAAGTTATTGACAACAGAGCAAAATGATGTACTAAAGTTTCATAGATGACATAAATATCTACAAAAAATCTGCGATATCATATGTCTAACTGTTACAGTTATTACAAATGTTACAACTAAAGGGGGACCTTTGCTGTTAACCCGCGTTAATTTGAGGGAAAAGGTTATAGTGAGTCAAACTTACAAGATGGAACTAGGGTCTTTTATAATTTCAATAGATATATAGAAATGCAAAATATGTTCGATCTGTACCTTGAAAGATTTCCACCCGAGTATTTTACATATTTAGTAAAATAAATTAGATCGATGTCCAGCCTGCCTCCTGGGTCGCATGAAATATTTTCTATAGATTTAAATGAAAAATCTGAACGATCGTCATTCAGGGTTTGCACGGGTTCCACGTTCACGAGTTCGGAGACAACACGAACGGGTGCACGTCGGCCGGACCGCACTTCAACCCGCTCAAGCTGGAGCACGGCGCGCCCGACGCCACGGTGCGGCACGTCGGCGACCTCGGCAACGTCGAGGCGGCCGCGGACAACGGGGTCACTAAGGTCACCATCACCACTCACTTATACGACCACTGGAGCACGGCGCGCCCGACGCCACGGTGCGGCACGTCGGCGACCTCGGCAACGTCGAGGCGGCCGCGGACAACGGGGTCACTAAGGTCACCATCACCACTCACTTATACGACCACTGGAGCACGGCGCGCCCGACGCCACGGTGCGGCACGTCGGCGACCTCGGCAACGTCGAGGCGGCCGCGGACAACGGGGTCACTAAGGTCACCATCACCACTCACTTATACGACCACTGGAGCACGGCGCGCCCGACGCCCCGGTGCGGCACGTCGGCGACCTCGGCAACGTCGAGGCGGCCGCGGACAACGGGGTCACTAAGGTCACCATCACCACTCACTTATACGACCACTGGAGCACGGCGCGCCCGACGCCACGGTGCGGCACGTCGGCGACCTCGGCAACGTCGAGGCGGCCGCGGACAACGGGGTCACTAAGGTCACCATCACCACTCACTTATACGACCACTGGAGCACGGCGCGCCCGACGCCCCGGTGCGGCACGTCGGCGACCTCGGCAACGTCGAGGCGGCCGCGGACAACGGGGTCACTAAGGTCACCATCACCACTCACTTATACGACCACTGGAGCACGGCGCGCCCGACGCCCCGGTGCGGCACGTCGGCGACCTCGGCAACGTCGAGGCGGCCGCGGACAACGGGGTCACTAAGGTCACCATCACCACTCACTTATACGACCACTGGAGCACGGCGCGCCCGACGCCCCGGTGCGGCACGTCGGCGACCTCGGCAACGTCGAGGCGGCCGCGGACAACGGGGTCACTAAGGTCACCATCACCACTCACTTATACGACCACCTCCATGCCCGACTGGTTTATACGCCGGGTTTCATGGTGTCGCCGACATCGCACCGTGCACGCGCACACACGACGACAAGCTGGGGGAGTGAGGCGTGTAGTGGATGTGGTTGCTTTATTAAAAATGATAAATTTTTCGTCACTAATAGCGAAAATGAACCTTGTTGGCCGCTAGTTGAATGTAATTCGTTAATACATAATATCTTTTTAGTTTTGCAGTAATAATATAACGGCAAATCATCGTCTTCCGCTTCCTCCAATAATAACTTAACGTGGCGTTCCATAACAGTATTTAATGACACACTAAAACACAATTCACTCCATCAAGAGACTACAATACTGAGGCGTTTGCGGTCTCGCGGTCTCGTCTGCAGTCTCGGTCTCGCCCCGCAGTACACACAGAAGAGACCGAGACACTTGTCGCGGTCTCCTGTCTCGATCTCTCGTCTCGGTCTCCCGTCGCGGTCGCGGCGCGGACCGCCACCCTTGACACAGCGCAGGCTTTTAAACATAAATTTAGACACATTTTTAATAAGTTGAGTAATAATAAAAGAATTATTCTCTTATAAAGAGACCCGAAAGCCATATTTTTTTTGTCATGTATGTGAACGTGAGTCAGAAGGAGTAACATGAATATCGGCTTTAGGTGAACATCCAAGACTGTGCGATCTCCCTGTGCGGAGCGCACAGCATCGTGGGCCGCACGCTGGTGGTGCACGCGGACCCCGACGACCTGGGGCGGGGCGGCCACGACCTCAGCAAGACCACCGGCAACGCCGGCGCCAGGATCGCCTGCGGAGTCATCGGACTCGCCAACGTCTAACCTTACACACACCAATACTGTGCTATACACGCTGTGACCGAACGATTCCTTACGTGAGTGGGTCTTTAGTTCTTTCATATATCCTCATGCATACAAACAAATTTATAAAATACTTTTTATATTTTTTTCTTAGGTTTTCATGCACATCACTCATTAAATTAAACTAGTTTTGACGGGTTAATGCACGAAACTTTATTTATTTATTGACGTTTCGCAGCCTTTTCAGGTCTGGTCAGGCTCATTTTTTATTTTAAAATAAAAAATCAGTACTCTGACGATGCCGACATGAAAAGGCTGCGAAACATCAATAAATAAATAAAGTTTCGCGTATTGACCCGTTAAAACTAGTTTTATTAAATACTTTTTAAACGGATATTGGAATAGTAATTAAAAACTTCAGTTTCGGGCACTCGCAGGACCCGTCTTGAAACACGGACCAAGGAGTCTAGCATGTGTACGAGTCATTGAGATTCATATAAACTGAAAGGCGCAACGAAAGTGAAGGCGCGCGCTTGTCGCGCGCTCAGGGAGGATGGAGCGTCGGTCTAGGTCGACCTCTCGCACTCCCGAGGCGTCTCGTTTCCAATCCGTGAATGCAGGCGCGCTCTGAGCGCAGATGCTGGGACCCGAAAGATGGTGAACTATGCCTGGTCAGGTCGAAATCAGGGGAAACCCTGATGGAGGACCGTAGCGATTCTGACGTGCAAATCGATCGTCGGAACTGGGTATAGGGTCGAAAGACTAATCGAACCATCTAGTAGCTGGTTCCGTCCGAAGTTTCCCTCAGGATAGCTGGCGTCGATTCGAACAGTCTCATCCGGTAAAGCGAAATCCATAGGCGAATGTTAGTAACGGACGTAATCTTAAAAAGCATATAAATAATATAAAGAACTATTTAGTAAACACTTTTTAACAAACTTCTTGGTTTCAAGACTGAACTTATTCAGTGATTACTGATCCTGTGACTGTGCACCTGATGCATTAGGAATAGTAGACAAAGTTGATTCATCATCTTACTGCGTCCAATACTTGATAATCTGAGAATGCATAACGAGACAGCCCATGTTGATAAAATATGGTTATAAAAATTAAATATTGTTTATTCAGTCTAACTAGACTGTTACAAGCTCTTGTGAATGTCAAAATGCTACGCTAAGTATAGGAAATTATGTTGTATATCATATTATATTTATCTGTCATATGCGTTTCCTTCTTAAATGCTAATCTCAAATAGAACTTGTGATGTGTATTTTAAGTAAGTCAATGACTATGACATTTATTTGATTCGGTTCACACATAATGCTTTCATATAGGTATGTACTTTATCTTTACTTGTTTCAGGTAAATCTTCAATATGGATAAAAAAATCACCTGAGAGCCATAGCATAAAATTTTGGGAATTGGTTTAAAATATATTATGGTTATCAAACATGTTTGTGAACACAAGTATCTTGCTATGGTATCCATCAATAATATCAATTGTTAAAGGGAATTAACCAAATATATTTGTTCTGTTTGTGATAGTATATAAGTTTGAACCAGTGTTTAGTGTAAGATACATTTGGGTTGGGCTACATTGCAGGTTTTTGATTGTGCTAAACTAAATTAAATCTGAAAAAACATTATCAAGTACCTAGAAACTTATTTTGTTAATGTTGTTATGCATAATAAATACCATTGTTTAGTTTAGAATAAAATTATCAATAATCAAACTTGCAATTCTTAAAAAACTTTCCCGCCCCAATGTTTCATTCATTTGTGACCACAAGCATTCCTTGCATTTCTCGAGATGTGGTTTTTACCCGACTGCCAAAGAGGGAGGGTAATGTTGAGGGAGTGTATGTAAGTATGTATGTATGTCTGTTCCTTTGTGACCTCCTGTAGCCTAAACGGCTTGATGGATTTTGATGTATGAGGTATCGTTAGATTTGTCTTGATTACGGGAGTGTCATAGGATACATTTTATCCTAAAAGTCCCACGGGATAAAGACATAATAATATTTTTTCTAAATTTCCCTTTAAAAAAATATGTATGCGGTATCATTAGATTCATTTTTAGACTGTCTTAAGGTACTTAATAATTCCCGCGATATTAATTCCCTTACTGAAGTAACAAGACTACGGTATATACCGTCTTAAAATACTAACTAACTAAAAAGTGTGAAATAAAAAAGGTAAATTTAAAAAATCAAAAAACCCGACTGCTTAATTATACTTCAAATAAAAACTGAAAAGAAAAAAACAAGTCCAGTAGTCTATAATTCTGTTAATAAGGAACAAAGCTACTTTAACAGTCGGGACCCACTGTTGAAAAATATTATGTATTCTTGAATATCTAATGGGTCCCGACTGTTAAAGTAGCTTTGTTCCTTATTAACAGAATTATAGACTACTGGACTTGTTTTTTTCTTTTCAGTTTTTATTTGAAGTATAATTAAGCAGTCGGGTTTTTTGATTTTTTAAATTTACCTTTTTTTTGAATTTTATTTTTATGGTGCATGTAACTTGCATTGCATTTGCAACATTTGCAATTTTTACTGAATAAAAGATTGTTTTTAACTTTGGTTTTTTCTTCCCTTTAGGTCTTATTGATATAGTCACAATGAATACTTCAGAATTTTTCGTTGTGGTTGGTATACAATAAGATTGTCATTACCTTTTTTTTATAGATAGGTCCAACAAATGAATTTACCCCACCTGATGTTAAGAGCCCCTTTACAAAATTGCACCGCTGCCGTACTGATCGGCGCGTAGGTAGATTTGCACTAGTATTTTACGGGTGATGTTTGGGGTCTTATAAAATAATTATTAATGAACTAATTATATAAATATATATTCGTTTTTCATTAGTTCAATGATGGTAGATTATTTTTATGAAAGTTTTTGATAGTAATTCTATTTAATTCAATATCAAAATACGGGGTAAACCTGCATTATTTTTTGGGAAAACTCAGGGGGGTTAGATTTTTTTTTTGATAATTAATGAGATGGAAAATCAAAATTCTAATACATTATGTTATAACAAAAACATATTTCTGATATCGTAGTAATTAATTTGATCTAATTTATTGAACATTATTGAGAGATTGAGGCGTTTGAAGTTTTGCACTAGTGCAGTTAGTTTACGGAAAAAACGATAATATTTTTCCGTAAACTAGCTGCGGTAGAACGATCAGTACAAAAAAGGAAAAATAGTATTTGCAAATATTCTACATTAACTTACAATAGGAAAAATAAATCTACTGTTTACTTCAATTGGAAATAGTCAAAATCTTTTCTAAGGGGCTAAACGAGGCGCTCAAAAATTACGATTTTTTTGCAAAAAATGTAAAAGGGCTCTTACGTGAAGCTTTAGTCCAGGCGCGAAGATAGCTGATACAGCAGTTCTACCTGCCATACCAGCCATCCCAGTTGCATCTGTACTCGTTAGCACCCACCGATCCGCCCCGGGCCCGCGTGGTATGTCATAATCGTTACATCCCATTGTAGGTGAGTAGTATAGCGCTATATATTATAAAGTGTATGAAGCTTTAGCAACTTATTGAATTTTTAAAAAGGTTAGGACCCATATTGTCACATGTATCGGAACACACTGAATTTCTGGTCGTGTTTACAATTGTGTAGTGAATTGCTTGCAACAAACGTCAAAGCAGTCGTCTGGTTTACCACCATGTAGCCCACGTTTAACAGCTTAATGTGCATGAAAGAGTTCAAGATGATAAATTTTTGGTCAGATGGGTATCCTGTCTGTTGCAATCCAGTCCATGGACTGTTGCAAAAGTGCCTCAAATGCTACATAGCAGGACAATACAATCAAGTATAATTTACAGTAAAGATATGGTGATATCTTTCAATTACCAAGTTAAAAGGTATAATGATAAGAGTTGAAGACTAGTCATGCAGAACACACCATAACTGTAGTCAGGGCTGGATTAAGAGGTGTGGAGTCCCCTGGGCCAACAGGAGTGGAGACCCTGAGCTAACAGAAGTGGCATCCCTTAAAATTGGTATATTATAAAATCTGGCACCCAGGCCACTTAAGATTTGCAACCCCTCTCTCCTGATTGGTGACCCATCATAATTTGGTTTTATCTCTGTTAATATAGACATTGCCATGCCTTAATTCAAAATTTCTAAATAAATTACATTGGAATTTTTCAAAAATATTGGAGACTGGCAAAATACTATGAGAAATAAAATTAAAATATATCATGAATACTTTATTTGCCCTATAGAATATATTCTATAATCTGTGCTTGTAATGAATATGTTGCACGAGCAGTCCTGAGACTGGAACATCGAGGGTGAAGATGCACTCCATCGCCACGGGCTATTGTCTCTGCTTTGGATACAACATGAGAGCCAATAATTTTCGGTAACTCTTGTTGATATGTATCTTTTTAGGTTATTGCACAGTTCTTCTATGATAGTTGGAGTCAAAAACCCTTTCACAATAAGTACGGACATTCTATTAGATTTCAGGGCATTATCACTATTCGGCTGACCATATGTACTGATATACATTTGTTTCTCTTCCATACTAACATTATGTGCTAACATCCCAACCCATTCATGCATTTCTTCTATAGGAACATCTTCTAAAATTGGAATCTCGGTCACTTGAGGGTTTATTTTATTAACTATCAAAGAACAAAGTGAAATGCATAATCCTCTGTCATTAAAATATTTAGCAATAGATGACGGACAAACATCTTCACTGCCAGGTTCCCACAGTATGAAAAAATTGAATCTCTTCAATTTACTAAGACTCCATTTGATTTTCTCGACATGTTTTAAATTTCTCAAATCGATTTTTACTTCATAAAATCCATGGTTACGTTTAGTACCTTCTAAGCCCAATGTTTGGAATATGAATTCTAGAAGGTGCAATGTTAAAATCCCATCAGGAGTAATAGCCGCACAATCTTCTATGATACAATTCTGATCCGCAGTTAAGCAGTGTAAGCGTCCGTTTTTGACAAAACTTTCAATAAATGTTGGCACCACAAACTCCGTCAGAGAGCAATCTGCGACTTTGTAATATTCGTTATCTTCTATAAGTATTTCTTTTACTTCATCTGGTATTTGTACTTCGTCGGGGCAAGTTACTACGACACTTTTATAAAAAGTATTCATTCCAATCTTTCTTTTGACTGAATCGAAATCTTTACATTTATCAGAGTAGGTTATAATTTTAGGCGGTGGAAAGTTAGATACTTCTGGACATAACATTTCGAAGCTTTTCTTGCTCGAAGCAAACAAAACAGCTATGGAGAAATAAACGAATGATTCCGATCTTTCATCCAAGTCAGCTTGATGGCTTCCATAAGATTTGGCTAATATCGGTGTTAAAACATACCGCAATATTTTGGGAATATTTTACCATTGAATTGACAAACACTGACTGACAGTGACAGTTGTTTCGTTTAACGTTCTCCCTTTTATTAGGGAAGGCAAAGGGAACAATGCCCATACAGGATAGTCTTCGGTTTTCTTTGTTCTTTTTTTTTACTCGATGAAATCGCGCCAAAATCTTGTGACAGTTAATATCGAAAATGTCAATTTCAGTGCCGTTTTCATAATTGACGACAAAGAAATCTCAATTATACAGCCTGTCTTTAGCAGCTTTAGTTCAAAATGAAACAACAAAATTTATAATTATAAGTTTTATTAATTATTATAAAAAGAAAACAAACTATGACTAGCATGACTGTTTTACGGGATTGTCCGTTCTTTGAAGATTGCTGTGATGGTTGATAGAGTCATTGGCGCAAGTCATGGATGGACGGAAACAAGTCACAATTCTCACTGCATATTATATATAAAATAAAGTTCCCCGTGAATAAAAACTATAATCTACACTGCACCAAGCAATAAGAATCGAAAATATTATAGCACAAATAGAACTTTGTTAACGTTGTCTTAAACAACTTCCTTGATCGTAAGCTTAAACACAGATCGTAAGATTATTTTAGATAGCTAGCTACCTTAAATACGCTTAAGCATTTAACTGGTAGATAAAAGTAGATAGAACATAACGCTAATCTGGAGAAAGAAAATATTCAAAAGTTAACAAATGTATCGACTCCATCACTATAACTGAAGTTCATCGATGGGCACCATATTGAAGAGTGCCCTGATGTTGTCTATGACGACAGCGACTATGGCGCGCACGATCGGCGGCGCTACTTCCTGCATCACCTCCCGCCAGTTGAGGTTCACGAATTCGTGCACGGGCGTGGCTGGAACACGAAGGACATGTTCATAACATACATTATTCGATAGGAAAGGATAAGCGAGATATAAGGTTCAAAGTCGCTGTACTATGAACTTTTAATCATCATTATTAGCCTATAATGTCACCACTCCTGGGCCACAGACTTTTCCTATGGATGGAATAGGGAGCTTAGGGCACGCGGGGCCAGTGCGTATTGGTGGGTGCTAACGACTTAGATGCAGCTGGGACCAAAGGCTTAACGTGCCTTTCGAAGCACGAAGCAGCTCGAGATAAGTAGTAAAATTTTGGTCACCCATCCAATGACCGACCACTGCGAAACTTGCTTCAACGATCGCTGAAAGCGCTAACTACTCGCCACCGAGCTCAACGACTCCTCTTTTCTTATTAAACTAACCCACAAAATGTTGGGAGAAGTCTAAATGTTATGTGCAGGCTGAACTCTATTCCCCATCTGTAGCTCTAGAACCGCATTTGCTGCAGGAGCACAATTCTTCAAAATAATGTTATTTGTCAGTCTGGTGTGGCATGTCTATCAAAATCAAAATCAAGATATATATTTATTTTCCATCACAACAGAGATTCATCGTAAGTCTTGTATAGCTATTACAGTGTTGTGGCTCCTCTATTTGTGATGAACTGGTGCCTGAAATAGGTTTCAGCAATAGAAACCTGTGCTACAGGTCACCAGTCTATGGGAGTTCGAAGTGCAAATAAACCTATTAGAGCAGAATACAGTTGTATGGGTTTGAATATTTTTTATTTTTATTTATTTAATTCAGGTAACAAACAGTCTTATACAAACAATTTTACAATTTATGTTTACAAATAGACCTAAAGTACCATTAATTGATGTTACGAATAAAACGGCACATCCCTAACTTCACTGCCGTGCGGTGTCCGCATATTTTGAATTATTTTTCGTGCGCGGGTAAAAACGTTTTTTTTGTCACTGTAATGGCGTCTTGAGAACTCGTGAGGTTCATGTTCGAATTGCATCGCCGATTATAAGTGGCTTTGATTTGTTTGTACCGGATATCTCATTGTAATATTGTAGTAATAACTTAAATTATAAGAATCCTAGTGTTGTTTGTGTAATGTACATGATTTGTGAAATTGATTGTGTGAGTGCTAACCTACTTTGGATCGCTATAAGCGCGGTTGTTGGATGAGAAGAGTCCAGAGGAATTGATCTGCCTTCCTATCCCTTCCTATCCATTTCTTAGGCAGATACCAAAGCGACAGACGACTTTACTTACATACAACTTGGTAAGTCATTTAGTTAGTTAAGTAAACCCTGCGACATCGCAGGAGCTATTGTGTTCCAAGCCCAGCTGAAGTATTTGTTGGGACAATACAATCTTTACTTCCACTGCGCGGTCCCCTCGGCTTGGGCTGGTAGTGAACACAACAGTTTCTGGTAGCAGAGCGTGGTTTGTTGACCTGAAGGTCCACGCTCCATGCTAAATTTGTGAATATTGTTAAAACATTTTTTGAATTTGTTGGTCGCTTATGAAAAGGATACTCTTTGTACAAGGTTCCAATTGTCCATATTTATAGGTTTTGTTTGCAATTTGGTTCTGGTATAATATTGTTGTTGTTGACAAGGAGGTAAAGAACTTAATTCCGGTTGCATAAATTGTATAATTTAGATTGTTTTCATAAAAACATTGATAAGTTTCTTTACTTCTTTGTTTGTTGACATTAGGTGAATAAAACATGCAATTTCTCTTATGTCATTGTTTTGTAGTTATATAGTTCTTGTTTACATTTGAAACAAGAATTTACTTATTGTCTCATGTTCAAAAGTTAAAACTTAGATATGTTTAGTTTTTGATAGTCATAACTTAGTAATTAATTTGTTAAGTTATTGAAAATAATTGATAACCATAGATGTTTTGCTTTTAAGATTTGTAGGTTATTTGGTTTGCTATATTAAGATAAAATTAATCTTAGTTTTGCTATATCAAGAAAAATCAGTGTGTCTGTTCGTCACAGATAATATTAATTAAGCATTTGAATATTAAAAGTTCATTCTTTTGATTTGTAATTGAACCTTTTTGAACTTTGTTTATGTATGTATAAATAACTTGAGATTTGTTTGTTTGTTGAGGAGTTATAATTAAACGGTGCTTTGGAAACTTTGCATACATACATATTATATAAAGAATTTCAGGTTGATAATTCATACTTAAACCTTGCATTGGAAATTTTGTATGTATATATATATAAAAATAATTAGAAATTTGTTTGTTTGTTGAAAATTTATAATATATTTTATTTTATTGTTACCTTTACTGCTTGTAGTGGGAAGGTTTACCACCAGTAACATAACAATGTCGGCCTCTACTAACAAAGCGAGAATTCGTTCGGAATTGAGATGGTTAGCTACTGCGGTTACCCTTATCGATAGACTGGATCGGAGGGAGGCCTTGTTGAATAGGTACATGGATCTGCCGGTACGTTTGGCTACAGTAGAAGAGCAGTACGCTCTATTTTTGGAAAGGACTCGCGATGAGGATGTCCAGCTGCGACAGGAGGTTGAAAGTGATGTCGCACAATGTTATGACTTGGCGGACACACTCACGGAGTTTGCTCGACCCTTGCAAATGGCAAGAGAACATGGTCCGATGACGTCCTCGAGCCCCACTAAGGGACTAGCACCCCTCTTCGCTAGGTTGGCCCCCTTAGACTTAAGGCGTTTTGCTGGTCGCCTAGAGGATTGGGAGGGGTTTATCAATATTTTCGATAGTTTGGTCCATGCCCGGGAGGACTTGACCCAGGGCCAGAAGTTGGCCTATTTGTTGTCTGTTTTGGAGGGGGAGGCCCTTGAACAAATTCAGCACCTGGCCCCCACAGACGAGAATTACCCGATTGCTCGGGAGTTAATTGCCCGTCGGTACCAGAACGTACGACGTCTGGCGGACACCCATGTGGCCACCATTTTGAACTTACCACGAGTTTCCAGCGTGACTCACCTGAGGGTTGAGCTTTTGAATCCGCTGTTGGTAGCGTTTAACGCTTTAAAAAATTTGAAGCTCCCCGTGGAGCAATGGTCATTTTTGTTGCTTCATATTATTTTAAGGAAGCTGCCGGACGCTCTTAAGGTCCGCTTTGAGCAGCAGTATGGTGGGGACAGTGCAACTTATCTGCCACCCTTCTCAGATCTCGTTAAGTTTCTGGAAGGAGAATGTCGGCTGGCAGATAACTCATCTGTGTCCGATCCGGTTAGGTCGGAGCGACCTGTGCCACAGAATAGGTCCCCCCGAGCACCACGTACAGGCCGGTTTGAACCACGCGCACCTGGCCGATACGCAGCAGTCCAAGAGACCGCCCGCTGTTTGAAATGTCGGGAACCGGGTCACAGCACGACCCGTTGTAAGCAGTTACTCGACCAGCGAGTACAAGGGCGTCGAAAGATCGCGCGGGAGAGGGGTTGGTGCTACACATGTTTGGGCCTGCACCTGCAGCGTGATTGTACCCAAGCGCGCTCATGCCGCTTTTGTGGGGGCAAGCACCACCCCATCCTCTGCATGAACCAGAGCGAGGCCGGTGGAGCACCTCAGCGAGTGACTGTAGGGACCTCGCGTACGGGCGGGGGACGTCCCCCCGCGATGAATGATTCCCGCAGCAGTTCTGGTGGTAGTGGCAACAGCCCCAGACGCTCTCCGCCGCGAATTGAACCTTGCACGGGCGGGGGTCCAAAGGATCCTCCACAGGAAAATAGACCACCGCGTCCCCGCGACTATGGGGTGATGAACGCGGCTGGTGACGAGCACCGATTTACACCGCCGCTCGCGGTATACCCGCGTTTAGAGCGTCGCGCACCCCGGTATCGAAGCACTGGGAGACTTGGACGCAAGCAATATGTGGGGGCATGGGACCCGCTGAATCGTTTTGAGCGACCCTCTCCGTCTGAGAGGGCTCCGTGGTACCCCACATATTAGCAATTATCGTCTCCCCAGTCCGCCCATCCAGAGACCGTTTTGTTGCCCACGGCCTCTGTATTTGTTAGGGGATCGAATGGAAACTGGTTGAGAGTTCGCGCCTTATTGGATTCCGGTGCTCAAGGGTGTGTGGTGTCATCTTGGTTGGTTAGGCAGTTGGGCCTCAAGGTGCACCCCCATCCGCATGGCGTGAGAGGTATTGGCGATGTGAAAGTTCCCGGGTTGTTAGGGTATGTTAACTTCACGTTCACCTCATGTTATGGGTCCAAAGAGAGTATTGACGCCTCGGCGATTGTTTTGGATACAGTTGTTGGTCATCACCCGTCAGTTGACTTAGGATCGACCCTGGTGTCTTTGGTGTCTGACCCAGCTCTCGCCGACCCTAAGTTCTACCGCCCGGGCCCGATTGATGCTCTCCTTGGAGCCGATGTCCTGGGGCGAGTTTTGTTGACGGGGAAGCGAGTCTTGCAGCCAGGAGGTTTGGTAGCTCTGCAGACGACACTCGGTACGGTTGTTATGGGTCCTGCGCACCGCGTTTTGGTTTCTTCAGAAGAGGATCGCGGTGTCGCTTTGAACGTGTCTCTCTCTGAAGTGCTACAGAAGTTTTGGGAGGTTGAGGAACCTCCACCGGCCCCGCGGGTTGACCCAGTAGCGCAAGAATGCGAGTTGTTTTACCAGAATAACACTGGTCGCCTCCGCTCTGGTCGTTTAATCACCCGCCTCCCCTTTCGTGCCGGCCGACCTCCTCTGGGTGAATCCAGAATACTAGCGGAACGTAGGCTAGTGTCCATGGAGCGCCGCATGAGCAAGGATCCGGTCTTCCGTCAGAAGTACATAGACTTCATGCGGGAGTATGAGGAGTTAGGGCACATGACCGTGAGCGACTTGGATTATCGCTCAGTTGAGCACTTCTTTTTGCCGCACCACGCCGTTTTGAAATCCGGAAAAATTCGGGTGGTCTTTGACGGATCTGCTTCCTCCTCCAGTGGAGCGTCTTTGAACCAGTGTCTGCATGTAGGTCCTAAGTTGCACACGGAGATCTCAGACATTTTGACCAACT